GGATGCAAAGATAGGTAATATCTGAGATTAACTCCTCCAAGGTTCTGCTTTTATTGTCAAAGACATGGGTGTTTCTTTCATCCCAAACGCCCCACATTACTGCATGAGGCACTGATTGCCAAAAGACTTTACCCCTTTTGCTAAGCCCTATTCCTTGCCATTAATTCAAGTTGTCCATATGTGTTTTGGAAAAGCCCACCTGTACCCTGCCATATTCAAGAAATGGGTTTATTGATGTTTTTATCCTTTATGAAATGGCTCATCACCAAGGATAGTACCTTTTTTTTTAGTGCTGTCCATTTTTCCTTTTCATCTCTCTCTTTAGAGGGAAATTACTGATGAAAAGGGTTTTTGCATTTCCTCTTCCTATTCCAACTACTGATGATAATCAGAATTCTCCTGCTACTGAGACGCCATGTAAAGAACACCCCCATTATCGATCTACTACAGAAATCAGATACCTTGGACAGGTAACTTAGCAGGTTATTCCCTTCTTTGTTTTTTTTCTTCATTAATTAATCACAAAAGCAATTACAAGGAGGAAGATAAACTTTCTTATCTTCCAACTTGAGCTTGAGCTCCCAAGAACAGAAAAAGTAAAAACAACACTTGTGCCCAAAACATTGACTCCCTCTTGACTCCTTGCTTAGCTAACCCATCAGCAAAAGTGTTGGCTGATCTTTTCACCCAGCTGATCTTAACTTCCATCTCTTGAACCAGCCACCTAAATTTCCTCCTCTCATTACTATACATCCATAATCTGCTATTTTCTTTATTCAGACACCCTACCACCACCTCCGAGTCCCCTTCAATGATGAGTTTTCTTATATTCATCTCCTTAGCTCTTTGGACTCCTTCCAAAACTGCAAAGATCTCAGCCCTGAGTTATTCCCTTATTTCTGGTCTTGGTATTCGTTCATCCAGTCTTTTAGTAGGAGAAAGTGTACTGAATCCTCTTCCAGTGTTGCTTATATTCTATCACATTTTGTTTCGTATGATTGATTTTTCCCTCGTTTAACTATGCATGTGTGTTTCCATTGATCAGAAGGAAAGAAGAGAAAATGATGAAATGAAAGGAAGAAATGCCACTGCACTGTAAACTTGTCTGTTGCAACTTAGGAAGAACTAAGAACTGTCTTTATTGTAATATTGTGCTCTTTCATATTCCTAATCCTGTCTATGGTTCCATTCCCAGCGCTGTGCACGTGAGTTCCGTACTCTATTATGTGAGGTCATAACCACTGAAGCAGCTTCCCAAATGACCAATGATGGGAAGACAGTTCTTACTTCTTGGTCCACAGCAAAACGTCTTTTAAAAACTGATCCTAGGTATTCAAAGATGCCAAGGAAAGAAAGGGAAGCCCTATGGCGGAGACATGCCGAGGAAATACTGTGGAAGAAAAAGCTCGTCTCAGATCCAAAGGAAGAGAAGCTTAATATAGAGACAAAAGCAAGAAGCTCACTTGATTCTGGTAGGTCCCCAACAGGGTTGAGGAGATCCCATAGCCGGAGATAGCTTATTTTATATAAGGTAAACAGTTGAACTTTCTTTTCATCTTTATGTTACAAAATTGTTTGCACTTTCTATTTTTAAGACCTCAGGGTGTAGTTTTGCAGTGTCTGTGTATGTTAATATGTTGCTTGAATCAATTACTGTGATTGTTTCTATCAGTAAATAATGATAGCTATGGCGGTTAGAAGTTACTATATATTATTAGACTTAATCCTATAGGACCTCCACAGTAAGGCTTGGACTTGGCCATTGACTGGTAGATTTCTGGTGAACAATATTTGGACAATGTAGACCATTTAATTAATTGTGAGAGAGAGAGAGAGAACTTCCTGGATGCTTGGAACTGGCTAGATTTTTAGACTGAATTTCTTACGTGTTGGGCTTATTATTGATCTAGTCCTGAACCCCCCTTTGGTGGTGGAGGTTGTGTTGCGATGCCATAATGCAACAGTGTGCTTGGTTTTCATACATTGATATAGTTAGTAGTACTCACTTGCATGAGCAAATATGAAATTGCATTTACGTGAGCTCTGATGTGCCCTGATTTTTTGAGCTGAAAGTTTCTCAAATTGAGACTCTTTGAGATTAATTACAAATTGGTATACCAGTGAATGTTGCAGAAATGGCAATTTCATATTCATTGAGATTTTCCTCCTGTTAGGTGAACTGAACACTGGCTAGATGCAGGGAACATGCTGTAAGAGACCAAGTTAAGATTATTCTGAATGAAATCCTGGTGCAGATTGGGGCTGTCACGGTATTAAAATAGAACATTTGTATACTGCTCGGCGGATCAAGGGAACCAAACCAAAAACTGAGGCACGCTAAGACCTATTTATGAAGAACTTGAACTTAGCAAGTCTTTTCTGCCTTTAGTTGCAGTCAGCGTTGCATTCAATGGTTATCGCTTACTCAAATATTTTATGCTTCAGGATGCCAAATTTGCTTATTGGCAATTCTATTGCCTTTTCTTCTGGAAAATGTGAGCTTCATTTAGCTTGGCAACTTCCAGCATTCATTGGATGTATAAAATCTTACTTGGGATCTGGATTTTTAATTTGAGCTGAGCTGTCCATCATTCATCCTGTACTGAAATTTGAGTTATATGATATCTATTTTTGCCTACTTATGTTTATTGATCAAAAGGACAGTCAGGGGACTGAAGGGTTCAGATGTGTTGTAATGCCCCACAAAATCTGATTTTTACTGAAATGCCTTAACCTGATAATTTGACAATAAATCTTGTCTCGTTCTCTCTCCCTTCAAAAGATCTAATATATCTCCCTATAAAATGACAATGAAAATATATTAAAGGGCCCGTTTGGTTCGTAGGAATAGTGGTCCAGAATCGGAATTCCATTCCCATTCCTGCTGGAATTGAGGGATTGGCCATTCCCTCTCCGGTTTCCCCTCCCTTGGGAATGAGAATCCATAAAGTAAGGGGAATAGACCATTTCAAATTTTCAATTCTGATTTTGATTCTAACTATGAATCAAAATGTTTATAGATTCCAACGGACCCCAACATGTTTATAGATATCATTGTCACACACGTATGTATATGCGCACAAGGATATACACCTTATATACAATGAAAATATACACCTGATTATGGTATTGTATCAATGGTCCATTGATACATTATTTTTAAGGGATTTTCAAAAACCAATCTTTTTAAATGATTAATAATGTTAAAACCGGCCCCCTGTGAAATTTTGAAAGCAAAAATAAATAAAAATAAAATAGTTTTTCATTCTATCAAAAACACCTGATATGCATGTTTGTGCGTATCACCCGATATGCATGTTCCTCTTCTTTGCTTCTAAATTCTAATCGTCTCTTCTAGTAGTAGGCTTGGCGACAACCCCTTTTCTGCAACAAGCTCTCATCTTCAGATTTGAAACAAGGAAAAGATGATGAAAGGTAACTAGACCCGGCAAAAAGTTGACCCAACCCAACCCGAAAAATAGGGTTAGGGTCTCATATTTAGCAACCCGAATGTGAAAATGACCCGACCCGACCTGATCCGAAAAAACTGGGTTGGGTTGGGTCATGGGTCAATCCGTTGACCCGATTGTTAAGTTTAATTGGGATTATTTATGCATTGTTAGAAGTTTCCACTTTTTAATTTTTTTTATTTAGTCTTTATTTTTTATTGTTTACTCATTAAATTGTTAAATGTTCAAGTTTTTATTTTATATTTGTTATTTTAAGGATAATTCTTTTGATTTTGACATTTTTCATGTAAAATTTCTTTATTTTTTTTTTAAATTTCAATTATTTTTTGGATGACCCGAATTGACCCATGGGTCAACCCTAACCCGAACATTTAGGGTTAGGGTCTAGCATTTGACAACCCAACCCGAAATTCAACCCAACCCAAAATCAACCCGAAATATCTTGACCCAACCCACCCAACCCGATTGCCAGGTCTATATGTAACAGCCCACAGATCCATGTTCCACCACCTCCGCCGTTGCGGCAACCATCAAAGCGATAGTCATGGGGAAGGCAACCATTGATGTTCTTGTCGGGGGAAGAGATAAGGAGAGAGAGAGAGAGAGAGAGAGAGAGAGAGGGAGAGAGAGAGAGAGATGTAATAATTACATCAAAAAATTTTGATGTATTTATTACATTGATTACCAATGTAATTATCGGTTTAAAATTCATTTTACCAAATGCTTGCAAAATCGAACTGGGGTGCAAAGTTTACCCTGGTTCGATTTTACACCTCTACCAAATGCAGCCAAAATGATTATAGGTTCATGACTAAACTGGATCTAATTAGGTTCATGACTAATATCAAAACACTTACGCCCCCATTCATTTTTTGGTAAGTTATTTACCTGGGTAAATGCAATTACTTGGGTAAGTGTTTCCTTACCCAGGTAAGTGCATTTACCAATGTTTTTTTATTTCTCAGGTAAATAAGGCAATGACCATTTTAGACATAAAAATCCATTATTAAAAGGGGCATTTGTGTCCCATTCAAGTGTTGACAGCTTTCCCCTTATGTGGTAAAGTTATTTACCCACCTAGGAGATGGGTATCACTTTCCTAGGTAAGTGATACCAAGTAAAATAAACTTTCCATGGTCACCACATTAATCTGAAAAATGAACATGGGATTCTTGGTCAATGAGAACTAAAATCCCATTGACCAACTTTCCCCCCTCCAAATCAAAAAAAAAAAAAAAAAATTAGAAGAACCTACCAGTAGGTTAGCAGCTCTTTCCCATTTGAAGTGAAACAAAGGTTGCCAAATTTGAGTTGGCTGGATTTACTGCCAATATTTGCCATGGTTTTTTTTATTGTTGTTTATTGCTCGATTAATTATATATTCATACATTACTTTATACCCACATACGTTATTTCTAACTCAGTATTTTATAGATTGAAAATGTTTTAAGGAGGTCCTTTACATGTTCAGATAGAGACAAATTTGATAAAGTTTTACATGTAGAGTTCTTTTAAGTGAGTTTTAGCATATTAAAGCAACTTGAATTTGTAATATATTTTGAACACGTAGATGTATACAAAATACACTTGAATCGTAATTTATTGTTTTAATAATATAGTCTTTTTATTGGAAACTTGTGTTCAAGTTCCGGATTATAAGTATGAAGAAATAACTTGCACGGAAAACTTCAGGCATTAAGATTTAGCCACGGTTTTTTAGGAATTGTAGCTATAAATTCAAAATTTTAAAAGATATAGATTTAAATATTAGTTACATGATTACATCTTACGTACATCTTTAAACTATAGCTATAGATTCATATTTTTAGCTATCTACAACTTGAAAATTGTAATTATAGATGAACTTTTAGGTTGTGTTTGGTTGCAGTGTAAATAAATTTGCACTAATGCAAAATTATGGTAGTGCAAATGATTTGGATGCAAATTCTGATTTATTTTTGTCCCAAATTTTATCTTATATTGTTTCATTGCAGTACAAATGAAGTAAAATAAGACGTGGAACAAAATGAAATAAAATTCAAAACTAAATTAAACCAAAACTTGTGTTCTTTTTATTTGTACTCCCATGCTTTTGCACTATTACAAATAAAATTGCACTGCAGCCAAGCACAACCTTAGCTATGGTTTTGTCCACAGCTATAAGCACATGGTTTTCAGTAGGGGGTCCATGAAAAATTGTAAAACTGAACCAAACCAAGAAAACTGAACCGAAAAATGTGGTTAACCAAATTGGTCAATTCGGTATTTTTGAAAAACCGAAGGACCGATTCAGTTTTTGGTTAACCTACAAAAAACCGGTGGTTAACTGAACTAACTGGTATATATATTTATATGTATATTTTATATATATTTTTAATATATGTCACATATTTTCTATATGTTATATATAAATATATATTCATTATATATATAAATATATACATATATTATATTTATAATAATCTATTATAAATATATTATATATTTTCATAACATTTATAATATATTATATATCATTTATTATTTATAATATAATATTATACATATATTTATATAATATATATTATAAATATAAAAAACCGAAACTGATAGGCCGATTAACCGGTGGTACCGGTTCAGTTTACAAAAACTGCCCATGGTTCAGTTAACGGAACCGTGGACACCCCTAGTTTTTAGTTCAGTTTTTAGCTATGAACGGAGACCATAGCTGTAGGCGGGTTTTAGCTACAGATTCTTTTAGCCTTAGCTATACTTATATTATTATTGCTATTAAACATTATATATATATATATATATTATGTATTATTTATATATGCACGTGAGATTTAAACAAATTAACCTATACCTAAATACAATTAGAAAGGATAATTCCGAATAAAGTAATAGGAATAAATTTCCTTATTTCCATGATTATAGTGTTTAGATGGTTGCTTTAGTGCTCCCTAAATGCTAATATAGATTCTAAAAAACCTCAAAATCCATTCTTTAAAATAACTACACGACTCATACTTAAAGTCCCATAGCCACCCAAAATCCACAAACTCAAGCCAATCTTATTAAATACCAATATTCATATCCCCTAGACTCATCTTAAACATGGTAAAATGTTTGAAAAATAGAAATGAATAAAAAATTATAAATTAATTAAAATTTATTAAAATGAATAAAAAATTTAGTAACAAATAAAACAACAAAAAATGTTTACAAAGTTAAGAAATTGTTTAAAAATAAAAAATATTACTAATATTTTCGTTATCCTATATTCCTATATATATATATATATACATTTCCATTTTATCATTATCATCATCATTATTGTTACTAATACTATTACTACTCGTGCTACCAGCATTTTTGTGTTTAGAGGGTTGCTTTAGTGCTCCTTAGATGCTAAATTGCCAATAAAGATTTCACAAAACTTCAAAATTCACTCCTCCAAATTCCAACCTCAACAACTTCACAACCCCTTAAAAAAATAACTACGACTCACATTTAAAACTCTAAAGGCCACTTGCTTATCAAAAAAAAAAACAAAACCCTAAATACAAATAACATCCCAATATTACTCATACAACACATCCCAACAGTGTATCTCGCAATGACAACTATGGGAGATGTTTCCCATACACACTCAGATGTGCATGTGGGGCACCCGTGGGGGCAGGGCAGATCCAAATTTCCAAAAAACATCCACAAAACACTAATTCACAACCTCCAACCAAAAAACCTAATCTCAAAACACCCCCAACCTCAACCTGTCTTTCCTGAGAAAACTTTGCCTATTTGGGAAAAACAGCTGGGCAAATTTGTCATGAGTGTGGGTAAAACAATGCTTACTTGCAATTAATATTCTTCTAGCCAAAAAGACAAACGAGGACCTCAGTTAGAGTTAGGTAATGTGTCCTTTACGGGAAGTTGGAAATCAGCCCTTGGTAGTTGGTAAAAGGGTGTAATCACCTTCTTTCTTTTTTAGGGATATTATCTAAAACTTGCTATGACTTTTTTTGCATTTTCCTTAAATCTATCATGACTTTTCCAAGCCTCTAGAGAGCCCCTATTTCCTATTGATGAGTTATTGTTCAAAATTCATCTTCCATTATGATTTTCATTAGATCATTAACAGAAGTTGTCCATATAATCATTTGAATATTTTACATGACCAAACTACCCTTGAATGATCATACAACCTTATTAAATATTTTCATGACAAAATTACCCAACTACTACAGGCCTGATGTAGGTTCGGGCTCAAGTCACAAATAATTTTGTCACAAAAAATACTAATAAGCTTGATTGGCCATTTAAGAGTAATTTGGTCATGTAAAATACTCAAATGCTTGTGTAGACAACTTTTGTTAATAATCACTAACATTGATTTAATGAAAATCTTAAAGGAAGGTGAGTGACACTAAAAGTCATGGCTAGTTTTAGGCTGCATTTGGCATTCCTTATTTTAAGGACTTATCTCTTTTTTGCAGTTAAAAATTCAATGTTCATGGGACATTTTAACTGCAAAAAGGAGATAAGTCTTTAAAATAAGGAATGCCAAATGCAGCCTTAGATAATATCCCTCTTTGTTAATATAAGGGCAATTTAGTCATAAGAAAATTGTTTATCTTCTCATTCACTATTTTTCGTAGAGCTGCACTTTGGTAAGATTGCAAATACAAATATGTATGGCTCAAGAAAATGCATAATTGGTTTAGTTTTGCATGAATAAATTTTGTATTTTTGTAAAAGGCATTTGATTGTGTTGGGCACAAACACAGATTTGAAGACTGAAATCTACCTTTTTTTTTTCTTTTACATTGACCAACTTTGAGTGTAAAGATTGCTTCCATTTTTTGAAAGCATACTTTGCTCCCATTTTGAATGCAAAAATGTGAAAAAAAAAGGGAAAATCTATAATACCGAGAAAGACATGGTATTGAAGAGTTTTGGCCCATCAAAACCCACTTGTAAACTTTGATAAATTCCACCTGATTGGTTAACATGCTTACGATACAGGTTGATTGGTCACAAATTTTTCCGATATTATGTCTTTTTGGTATCATAGTCGAACCCAAAAAATTACAAATGTGTTGCCATTTTTAATACAAGGATTTTTTGCAAAAAAAAAAAAACCAAGTTTGGTTAATTGACAAATTCGGTTATGTTTCATAAATAATATCGAATTCAGTAAGAGAAAACATAGACATTTTATGATGAAATTACCCTTTGTTAAAAACAGAATCCACCGAATCTTGTTTCATTCGTTCTTCTCCAAGCTCGAGTGATTTGGGGGCTCCCATTCTCTATCTCACGTAGATAACTGAGTAAGCATCTATTCAAACTACAGTTGGATGGGAAGCATGGACTCCATCTTCAAAGCAATATCAGAATCTACAACTGAGAAGCATCGACTCCATCTTCAAAGCAATTTTAGAATCTTCAACTGGGAAAAATCGGTTCCATCTTCAAAGCAATATCAGAAAATGTATATATGTTCAACCGTTAGTTTCAATATGTTTTGTCTTTCATGCTAGAATTGATGACAGAGGGTTTTGACAACTAAAGTTCCTTAGTGCTTGGTTTGGTTCAAAGCGGAGCTCCAAATCACTATTTCTAATTCTTTGAACACCTTCACCATATGAATAGCTTGAAAAAAGTTTTGGCCTCCATAAATCCCATGCATGCTCTTGAGAATCAGCATAGAATTAATTTTTTGCACGTTTGATTTTATTTTCATGCTTAGGTTGATGGCAATATCATATTTATTCTCTACCCTGAGTAGATTGCATGTTGAGAATTGAGCTAATTGATTATTCAGATTATGCAAAATAACTTTCTCTAATGTTAATTAAAATAAATAATTATGGACAAATCTAATTACTTGACATAAAAATAGTCATGTAAGGTGTTTATTTCATTACTCATATAGACAACATAATATTGTGTCTTACTTCATTGATGTATATGTAAGTAATTTTGTCTTTTGTTTTTTGTTCATTCTATTCAATCTGTTTTTTTGTTCTTCAAACTCATATGGGAGAATATGCTTTGTTCGTTAATGAAAAAGACCATCACGATTAGATCTTTTGACCCCTTAAAGATCAAAATAAAATAAACAGAAAAAACCCATGCATTAACAGATTCCTAGGTATTGGCCCCATTCCTTCATCATTGAAAGTCTTTGATTCCAGCCATATACTTGGTCATCATCAATAACACAACACATGCATTAACACATAAACAACAATATTAATTACTAAAACAAAGCTATTTAGGGTTCCTTTCTTCCCTTTCTATTGATTTATTATTTACCTTCATCTAAGAATCCAACAATGACATCTTGCCCATATCTGGCTTTGTGCATTAAACCTTCTCCCTTACTCCTATCAAGTCTATCTTTTACACCCAGAAATTCCCAAGACCTTGTAGTCTAAAGAGACCACTTCTTTGCTTGGTTTGGAAACACATACACCACTTCATCTAGATCGATTGGAAATAAGCCATTTAAGATCAAAAGATAAGCTAAAGATAGAGAACAAGAATGACAAGAACCCAATTGGAATTTTTTCATACCAGATAATTTGGTGACTTCATCTGGGCTTAACAAGGTAGCAAAGCCATTGATGTTGTTCTTATAACTATAGATTATTTTATGAGAAGGTAAAGTAAATTTATTAAAAAAGAGAACTAGAATACAGCTCAGCCCAAGAAAGGCTGAAACAAATGCCATTACAAACTCCAGACTAACTGAGTTCTTAGGACATGAGATACATTCAAATGAGTAAAAGCCGGATTGATAGCATCCCAGGAAGTAAGCTTGCCCACTGCACAATGCACCATCTCTTCAAGACTCTTCTTTCTGTTATAAAGCACTTTGTTGTTCCTCTTTGACCAAATGGTCCATAGAATAGTTGTCAAGATTGTCTTCCACACCACTTTTCCTCTTTCCTTCAAGCCTCTGATTTTCCAACTAAAGAATTCTTTGATAGTTCTTGACATGACCCAATTGAGTCCCACCACCTTGAGAAAATGAGCCCATACCTCGGCTGCTATAGGACAATGCAAACACAAATGATCAGTGGATTCAGGATGTGTTTCACATAGCCCACAACAAATATCAGAAATTTGAACCCCTCTCCTCACTAGATTCATTTTGAACAAGCATTTGTTAATAGTCATAGTCCAAACCAGAAAATTAACTCTAGAAGGACTGACAGAAGTCCAAGTCTGCTTATTTGGAAAATTCTCAATAACTGGACTACTTAACTTGCAAGCTGAAGAGTTAACTGAGGAGTTAACTGAGAAGCACCCATTCTTGCTCCATTTCCAACTCCACTCAATATCTGAATTAAAATCTAAAACCTGATTTTGAAGAATTGTCAGCAACCTTACAACCTCTTCCAATTCCCAGTCAAACAAGTTCCTCCTAAACTAAGGGACTCATGCTCTACATTTTCTGAGATGGAATAATAATAAGCAATCAAAGCATCTTGATTTACAACAACTTGAAATAGGAGAGGGAAGGAATCAGCCAGAAGAGTCTCCAAGCACCAAGGGTCATTCCAAAAGCAAACTCTATCACCTTTTCCCACTTTAAAATTTAGACCTTCCCCTAAGGAAGGGAAAAACTTTAAGATACCCTTCCAAATTGAACAGCCCCAACTAGAGAAGGGATCTTGAGAACTCCAATTCCCACTAGTTACTCCAAATTTGGATGCAATAAGGTTCCTCCACCAAGAACATCTTTCATGAGCAAAATCTCCACAGCCATTTACTAAGGAGTGTCGGGTTGAAGACCTTGATTTTCCTTTAACTTAATCCACCCTCTTCCAAAGGGAGGCAAATCTAATCCCATCCAACCCAATGGATTTTCTTTTCATCCTCCCAACCCTTCAAAAGAAAATTCTTTTGTAGAGTCTCCAACTTTTTGGCCACTTTGGAAGGGACTGGGAACAAAGAAAAGAATGAAGTAGGAAGATTAGTAAGTGTACTTTTCGACAGAGTAACTCTACCTCTAAAAGAAATAGGTGGTGGGTGTTTATAGTTCTTGTAACTATAGATAAGGAAAGCCTCAAGCATCCTCTTTTCTTTATAGTGGAGAGAAACAAGTGGTGGGAATCTTCAATTTCATGCAATGCTTTCTCTCCATTGTGTTCTCGAAAGTGTAATACATAAGGTCGCTGCTAAGATTAAGAATTTTGGTGAGAACATTAGCACAAATAAAGAGAACAATTTTTTTTTCCACATTTCTTCATCTATGAATAAATTTGGAGCATTATGTTTTTATAGTAAAGTGTTTGACTCACAGACACTTATTGTCCATGTTGAATAATTTTAAACAATTTTATGTTTTTTACTTATGTACAACAATATGGGAGAATGAGGACGACATGCTCAAGATAACACACCATATGTGCCTTTGATACGTTTTTTACTTATATTTTTTACTTGATCTTTCATCTTAGCAATCCAATCTTATGTTCCATGCAGATCAACTCTTTTCCATTAGGCATATTAATGGGTATGGGCTGCTCTACCCCAAATTGCATCATGCATCTATTGGGCAAGTGCCATTCCACAATGTTAAAACACACAAGCCATGTTTGTGCACGTCCATAAATCTTTGCCTCTAGTGCCTCTAATGGGACTTTTTCAGCTTTCAAATCATTATATGGTTGCCATTTAACCTACAATTCAAATAAAGATTATAAATAAGTGTATATATAGAAGTGAAAAAAAAGCATTACCAATATAAACTACTTACATGCTCTATGCGGAGCAAGTCGAGCTCTTAGCGATAAAATAAATGGTTGTGATGAGGGTTTATTCTGTATCTAGGCACCCAACACTTTGCAAGTGACACCTTTCTTGTAGAACCAATAAGGGATGGTTCTGGATAACCAACCAATAGATGTTCATGTGCCCAACACGGTTAGGTAGTATTGATTTAATATAATAGTGCACAAATTGAACAAATACAAAATACCATAAAAAACATACTTACAATAATGTTAGGTATACATATATATTTCTGCAACTAGGAGATGTAGCCTTTGATAATGATCTATAGAGGTATGCAAGAGATGCAACACCCAATGCATATTTCCATACCTTTGTAATATTATCGAATAATTGAAGATAAATCGGGTTGACAGAAAACTTGGTACTATTAGAGAAAATGGTACATCCCAGCAAATATAACAAATAAGCTCTAGTATGATGTAGGATGACCATTTCACTATGATTTCTCAACAAATGACTGAAAGTGTCTCTTAACAATTTTATTGACACTCTTCCATTTCTTATTTGTGGGTTTCTAGATCCTAAGTGTTTTAAACATAGATCTTTTGCCTTCATGCTTGAACCTAATACCACAACACCAGAAACTTAGAGGCCAGTGATATACCCCACATCCTATAATGTAATTGTCATTTCACTCCAAGGTATATGAAAGGTATTTGTTTCATTTCTCCATCTCTCAACAAGTGAATTGACCAAATGATGGTCAATGTGTATATGTCCAACTATGCGAAGTGGTTCTAAGCCACATTGTCTAACGAGACCCTTCATATCTTCATTTTCAATAGCCCACATGGTTAAAGCCTTTGTATGCTCAATGCACTTCAACATTCCCCTTTCCTACAAAGAAAGAATAAGTGATTATGTATTGTGTAATTATTGGGTTATATGCTTTAGTTAATTATTGAATCAATTATTCCTATTACCTTTCCTTGCCATATTTCTTTGAAGACATGGCTATCTTGAGCATACAAAATAGATGGATCTTCAAGTCCTGGATGATTTTGTGCCATATTGCATATGTAGACCACTTGTTAGTATATTTATTTATAGATTGTTTAATCATATTTTCTCTTGATTCAGATTCTTACAATCTCATGGAACCAAATGAAGTAATAGACAAATGCTTATAGGGATTGAAAGTAATCACATATGATGGGAGCCAAATGAAAGCAAAACTTCTTAGGAATATGCTCATTCAGTTTTCTAGAGGAATCAAGTTCCAGATTGGTAATTGATCCATATTAAAAGCTTGGAATGATAATTATCAAATAAAAAACTTATTATGGCTAACAAGATACAGCATTTGCCTGAGTCGATCATTGGATATCCCTATTAATACTTCTCCCCATGTGATATCTTGGTGCATACATAATTTCCTTTCAATATATATTCTTAATATTTTCTTGTCTATCTTTGGATAATCTTATGCTTTCAATTGACTTGATGTTGTGACACATTGGCTTGACCAAGTTGTTTTGCCTAATTGTGGATTTGAGATCCTTTTTTTTTTTTGTTTCTTGATAATTATGCAGAATTTTAGGCTATGCTTTATTAAGATCCTGCTCCAAAGAATTACTATTTGAAGCATGTGTTTTGAGCCAACAATGATTATTTTTTGAAGAAAATATTTATTCGCAAAAGTCAATTGTTAGAATGAGTTTTGAGCCCATAAAAGGAATTAGTTCCAGAAATTCTCATACATCCAATCTTAAAAGTGATTCATAGAATTAAAAATTCATTGGAATTATTCTTTGATTGGATTCCAAAAAATAACCTTATTGAAGAAGGTGAGGAGGGGGGTGACACTCCAATACAAGAGGAAAGCAAAGAGCTTTCAAACTACTACTTAGAAAAACACCCCTTCTAACTATCATAAATGATAAAAGATCCACTTGTTATAGATGTTGGATTTCTGAATCCCCTCAAATTATCTAAGGATTAAAGTCCATGAAAATTTCAATCATTCAATGGGCTTTCCAAAGGAAGCGACAAATAGGAAAAAGGAGCCAATTCCATAAGATGTTCCTTATACTATTGCTGGCCAACAGGCTACTAACCCCACAAAGTCATCGGGAATAACCTATTACCATCTTCTCATCTTTAAGTTAATGAAGTTACAATTATTGATCCAAGAAAACCTATTACGATCCTAACAACTTAGCTAAATGCCATCACACAGAGGCTGAAAATCTGTAACGGAAGTTCTAAAATATTAATAAGAATGAGGTAAAAACACATTCATTTGTCATGGCTTTTCCTCTCGCAATCATATTGATGGTATTCAAGAATTTATTCAGGTAAGCTGTCCACATGAAGAAGCACGTTTTGGTTGGAATTTGAGTAGACCATATACACTGCCAAGGGAAGCACGTTTTGTTGGTTAATTGTACTCTTCTAAATTGGGGGTTGTTGGCTACTGGGAATGTTAGCAAGGGGTTGAATGGGTTAACATACCATGCCCATGACCATTCCCAACAACTTAGGTTGTTGGCCTTCAACAACCAACGTTTTTTTCTTTTAGGCATTTCATCATATAGGTGGGAGTTTAACTTTCTATAACACTAAAAATTAGTAACTACAGAAGGAACTAGTTATTCATCAACCAAATGAACAAAGAACACATGAAACAAGGTGCTATGAATCAAAAGAAGCCAAAGTTAATTGCTTTAATTGACCCAGGACTGCTGGCAAACGTCAATTACTTAAACAATAAAATACAAATACAAAGAAACAACAAACAACAAATAAAAAGAGTTGGAGAAACAAGAAACAAGAAAAAAGTGCATACATTCATTTTCCTTCGAGACTCTACCCGTCAAACAAAGAAACAAGAAGAAAAACCCGAGATACGAAATCAAACTAAGTGTTTTTCTAATAAAACTTAAATAGCAAAATCAAACTAAGAAAACCTAGGATACGATACCTCTGAGAGATGACAACAAGCTCAGATTGATGTTTACACCCTATTGTTGCAAGTGCGATACAGGATTGAACTTGGAAAGATGGAGCCTTCGAGGTTAGAAGAAGAGACCCCTCCCTGCTAGGTCTGAAGTTTGCAAGAAGACAAACAACCAAACGGGATAATTTCAAACTCGAAATCAAACTTGGAGAATGGAACCCCAAATCACTCGAAGTCGAACTTGGATCGAGAATGGGACCCCGAATTACTCGAGATCAAACTTGGAGAAGAATGGGACCCCAAATCACTCAAACTCGAACTTGGACAGAGAATGAGACCACATCACTCGAACTCGAACTTGGAGAAGACGAATGAAACATGAATGTCTTTTTGGATTCGATGGATTCCGTTTTTAACAAAAGGGTAATTTTGTAATAACAAGTAATGTTTTCTCCCGCTCAATGAATTCACTATTATTTTTAAAACATCATTGAAAAAAGCACTTTCGCCCTAGGAAAATAATTTATAAAAACTATATTGCACTCTATTTCAGAATTCTAAATTCTATTGCAGATTTACAATAATTCAAAATTTTAAATATCTTATAACACCAATATTCATCCATGTTTTGACATCAATTCAGAGCTGGCACTTACTCTAATTGTACGTTAGAGCTAAGATTTATTACCAAAAAAGGTATGATACACCTTCGACCAATTAAAAAATAGAACGCCTGTGATTTTTTTTTTTTTTAAGTTAAAAAACACGGCATTTACCACCTGATCGATTGGCACCTTTATTGAGATCGATTGATTGATATCATAATCGAACTGTTAGATCGGAATATGTTTGATAACAGGTCATGTTTTCTAGAAGACGCCATACGTGACGGAGTCAGATCTCCTGCCCACATAAATTATAATCACGTTTATTCATATAACATGGCAATCACACATGGAAAACATCTTATCCATGTTTCCGATTGATAGGGATAATGTGTTGAGGGGCATAATTCTTGTGTGTAGGAGATGTGGAGTCAATTTGATGTCGAAAATGATTGACCATTAATGGGATTACATGGCAACTAGTAAGCTGTCCGAAATGGCGAAAAGATATCAATTTGAGAATCTATGATGCCGTAAGGATATGATACCTGAAGAAGTTTGAGGAATCAAAACGCTCCCGCCAACCAAATGCGATGAAAACCACCTGATTGGCTATGACCTTTTCGATATCATGTATTTTCGGTATGAAAGTTGATGAGCATTGTCGTTCAGAACGGAGACAGGAGACACTCCTGTAGGTGTCGCCCCTCGCCCCCCAAACTCTGCTTACAAATGCAACGTGGCATTTTTTGACCAAATTAAAATATGGTAACCGTAAGATCAACTTAATCCTCTAACCTTCAACGGGTGATATTGATACACGTGGCATGCGAAGACATATTCGAAAACTCGAAAAGAATTAAAAAAATAAAAGTTACAGGAAAAAAAGCAACGTTTATTAAGGAGAGGGAAGGTGAAAGAAGACACTCCGGCCGTTAGGCTGTGAGTAAGCCCCGCCTTACTCCGCGGGGACTCCATAACAGCACCTCGATCCGATCGCAAAACCTTAAAAATAATTTTCTCTCTCTCTCTCTCTCTCTCTCTCTCTCTCTCTGTTTCTCTCTGTGTGTGTCTCTCTCTTTGTTTCTGTTTCTGTCTCTCTTGGTTCGACTTAACGAAGCTCAGAGCTTCCGACGATCATGGAGGAAAAAATCGAGGACGTCGACGGGGAACCCGTAGTAACTCTAAGCACGGGACGTCCGCACCGTAAAACGAATTCCTACACTCAGTTCGGTAACTTCGGTTTCTCAGGAGGCACGAAGCGCAATACAGTGAGGAAGCACAGCCTCGACGAGGAACGAATTGGTAAGAATTTCGATCGGTATTTAGAGTTGCCCGACGATGAATACAATCTCTCCGGTGCTGGTGGCGGCATTGGTGGTTTTGGTAGTGTAAGCGAGCGTGAGTATATGAGCCAATTCAAGGAACAAAATCCTGCGGACGGTTCAGACGAGCAGCGGCGGCCGTTGCCAGAGTTTATAGGTAGCGGTGGTGGGACTGGGATCTTTAAGGTGCCGGTGAGGGCGGCGGTGCATCCTGGTCGTCCGCCGAGCTTGGAATTGAGGCCTCATCCGTTGAGGGAGACGCAGGTGGGGTCGTTCTTGAGGACCATTACGTGTACTGAGACTCAATTGTGGGCAGGACAGGAATGTGGTGTTAGGTGTTGGAATTTCTCGGATGTATTTGTGCCCGGGTGTGGATTTGGAAAGGTTCGGAGAGGGGATGAGGACGCGGCACCGTTCCAGGAATCGGCGCAGACTCCTCCGACAATTTGTATTGTTGTGGATAAGGGGAATAGGTTGATTTGGACGGGGCACAAGGACGGGAGGATTAGATCGTGGAAGATGGATCAGTCTTTAGATGGAACTTCTTTCAAGGAAGGCCTCTCATGGCTCGCTCATCGTGGGCCTGTTCTATCCATGGTTATCTCTGCTTACGGTTGGTGTCCTTCTTCTTTTTTTTTTGTATAATAGAAATAAAATTTTCATTAAAAGAAATATAAGTTACAAGATCAGGTGCTAAACTATCACGAAAGAAAGAAATTAAAAAAAAAGGAAGAATAGGAAGATAACATCAACAACATCCACCAACACCCAGTGCAAATCCCTTCAAGAGTCATGAGCATTCCCAAACCACACCCACGTAATGATAATACCTCCATCTGCGAAAGAAAAAAGACCAACCATCAATTGTTCATTTTGTTCTTTCCTTTTTTTTCTCTGATTATTTGGAATGCTTTTGTGGAATTCCGCTTATTTAGAAATAATTCTGAGAAAATGGTAGTTTGCATGGAAAACACGAAACTAAACATGGAAGACGGGAATATGATGACTATATGGTGCTCTTGGATTAGTTGCACTAGATGGTAGAATTGTTAATTGGGTATCTGGAATCACACATGAATTATTTTGGAATGGAATTCATTCATTATTTATTTATTTTTTTCCCAGGGTGTTCGAATTTACAAGATTAATATTTTAACCGGAAACGTCAATGAAATGACAAAAATGAAGTAATTTTAGGACTTTCTGGAACGAAGCCATCAAGCCATTTGGAAGTTTGCTACTATTTCTTGATTATTTCGAATTCTTCTCCTTTCACAGATGTTACCTTAACTAAGTAATTTGTGGTGTGACTGGTGTCTATATACCGCATGGGCAATAAGCAATTAAGTTGCTTCTTTCTTTCTTATTTTTAATTTGATGATTTAAATTGTTAGATCCTGCCAAAAATACTGTGGACTCTCTATCTAGGGAGGGAATGCATAGAAATGATTTATCTTCAGTATGCCAGATCTGGATGGGATTTATTGAGTGTAAATAGTAATTTTTTAATAGAGGAGGGAGCATGAATAACTTATAATATAGCTCCTGGCTATGGTAGCAACAGAAAAAGAATTCTTTATTCAGTCCTTAGTATTGAAAATACAATAGAATAGAATAGGTTGTCCTCTACAAGATCTGTTGACACTCTTTTATAGACCCAAAAGCAACAACTTCCAACTTGTTCTTGCACTCTAACTCCTACTTCTATTCATACTTCAAAAATATAGAAACTTCCTTTTCAAAATAGGACACTTCCATAACTTTCTAGTTCTAGTAAAACTAATTAAATATAATAAACCAGAGTTTACTATAATAATAAGTCATGATTCACTATGATGAAACTTGCTATGTATAGTGTTACAACCTGGGAAGAAGGCAAGAAAAAGGAAGGGAAAAGGTAGAGAGAGGTAGTGTACAGAAGAAAGTAAGTAGGAAAGAAAGTGAGAGAGAAAAGAAGTCTTGAGGAAGAAGATCTGAACCAGTCTCTTCTCCCCCATTGGCCTGAACTATTATTCCACTGTTTAGAAATTATAAAGTTACAAAAATGACCCTGTTAAGTGATTTTTAATAGGGGAAATACAAGGCTATACCAAAAGACAAAAATGCCCCTCATGGGCATGCATTTCAACACTCCGCCTCAACCTGGATCATATATATTATAGAGCTCCAGCTTGTTACAAATATAATCCATTCTAGTATAACACAAGCTCTTGGTAAATAAATCTACTAGCTGATCTTCTAACTTGACATAAGGAGTAAAAATATCACCATTTGTCACCTTTTCTCTTACAAAATGACAATTAACTTTAAGTGTCTTTTAAAAAGATCTTTTATCAAGATGAATGAATGAGCAACATTAGCAAATATGAGGTTTTATAGGAATTAAGAATTTAAGACCCTAATATGGATTTGTTTGGACTTTTCTCGAGGGACTTGGTACAAAGGCAAATCCTAGAATCAAGAATGCATAATGTTTAACATCATATTAGCTATTTGAAGTAATGCAATTGGGAAAAAAATAAAGAGATTAAGAGTTTACTTGCTTGAATATGTTTTATATGTAATGTTTGATTTTATTTTTAATTTTCATTTTAAATATGTTTTACATGTTATGTTTATGTATTTTAATTTGAGACAATAGGTTTTTTTAAAGCATTTATTTTTAAATTTAAGTTCATATTTTTAATTAACAATTTGTTTAATGTTTTGTCAATTTGCATATTTTTTGAGTTTTTGAAAATTTTGTCATTTTTTTGAATTTTTTTAGATTTTTCTTTTTTGCATTTTTTGCGCCTTGCTTCAAAAAGGTGTGTGCGTCGCTTTGGCCTTGGGCACAAAATGGCCCTAGCTCTTTTTTTTGTGCCTTTCGCTTTTAAAACACTGCTCTGAAGTAGTTGAATGATCATTTCTGGGGTTGACATACCCTTTGGATACGAGAAAACACCTCAGAGAGGGAAGGGAGATCACTACTTCCCAAGGTTTGAGCCCTCACAGGTTCAAACTTAAACCCCAGTCCTGACAAGAATTTGGCAACATCTAAATGTTCCTGTTGAGCTAGTTGTACCTTTAGATTGGGGGAAAGAGGTTAATAAACATTCAACTCATTCTGTAGACTTTTTAAGGTAGCATAATATTCCTTGACACTCTTATAATCCTGTTGAAGAGAGAAAAAATCTTGGTAAAGTTGGTAGATCCTTGTTACATTATCCTGCTTTGAATACAATTGTTGGGCATGCTCGCAAATTTCCTTAGCAGTATCCAAGAACATAAGATTGGCATTAACATTTTTCTCAATACTATTCCATAAGGCAGTCATAATCTGAGCATTTTCTTGCACCCATTCACCGTAGCCTTCAGACCCACTCTTCGGTTAATATTCGTTAACATATTTCAACTTCCCTCTTGCAATTAAGGAAACTTCCACAGATTTTATGCATGGTACATAATTAGTACCATTGAGCTTAACAATAGTTAATTAGGTGTTCATAAGGTCCGATTGCACTACTACAACAGACTTGGAGTTACTATTGGTGGCAGCCATAAGTAGAATGAAACACCAACCAGCAAGGAAATCAGTCCCAAAACTTTATTCACCTCGACTTCTTCATTCATCACTGTTTCAAGTCAATTGATCCATCAACTTCATGAGTTTCATCTAGTATCACTTCCACCTCTGCTGGTTGACCCCCTTCTTCAGATTCAGCTTCCATCACCACCTTTGCTTCTTTCACTGGTTTAGTTCTGTACTTCCTTTTCCTTTGGAAGGCATTTAACTGAAAAATTTTGCACCTTTCTTTCTCTACACACCCTCCTTTCCATCATCAACACCACCCTCTTTCTTAAATTCTCCCAGGTAGACCCGCTCACCTCCCCTTTTTATTTTTTTTTATCAGAAACACAGGAATAATTTCATTAATAAAAAGAAAGCATGGGTACAACAAGAGGTTGTGCAAAAAGAACACAACTATACAAAAGCTGACCCAGCTCAATAATTACAATTGAGCTCAATACATATGAGTTCTTTGCCCCTTGCTTAACTAGACCATTTACCAAGCTGTTGGCAGTTATCCTCGCCCACTTAACTCAGATTGTCATGTCCTCTGTTAGCCATTTAAATCATCTGAATTCATTCCTCAAATGCCATGTCACCCCTCCCCCTCCTTCAGCCATTTCACAACAGTTCTTGAGTCACCTGCAATGATTAGGTTATCAATACCCAGCTCTTTTGCCTTCTCAATCCCATATACTGCAGCCAATAGTTCTACTCTTTTCACATCACCTTGTTCAGTAGGTCCCGCATATAAGGCTATGATGTTTCCTCCCTAATCCCTAATGACCTTCATGCCTGAAGGGCCTAGATTACCCAGACAATTCCCATCAAAATTCAGTTACTCAGCCACATATTGGGGGTGACCACTTCTCAACAGATTTCTGTCTTCTAGATGATGAGACAGCAACAACACCCCAGGCCCTAAAAATGTCTTCAACCTTAAAATCTAAAAAAAGTTTCAGACTTTTTTCTGAGTGTGCCATTCTTAGAGTTATGATTTCTACCAAGGCTTCCTTGCTTCTTTCTCTTTCTTCAAATATTATTGAGTTTCTTTCCTCCAAAACTGTCCATAACAGCACTGCTCTTGTACATATCCCCATTATCCTGCCGCTCCTTTTAGTGTAGCTAAAAATAAAGGGCTAAACAATCCTTTCAGGAGAAGACCATTTGCATCTAAAAGGGGAAGAAAGCCAATTCCAAATAAAGCTAACAAGAGGACAAGAGATTAGGAATCCCAACAGAACTTAACTTACATGGTACGCACCAGCTGGGGGTCTAACACCAAGTTGGTCTTTTTCTTTGAAGCAAGTCAAAGGTATTAATACAATTATGAATCCCAACAGAAAGCACTGATTTTTGGGGGAATGGGAAAGCGCGGGATTTCCTTTACTGGGAAAGAAGAAGGGGAGGTGGATACCAAGGAATTAAAGAAAGATTACAAGAGAACAATCCATAAGGATTAATGCCTCGAACCCTGGAACCCAAGCCACCTTCTCCCAAACACACTGAATTCAGCAAGTCTAACAACTCAGACACACTAGGAATTTCAGATTCTCCAAGGTTCCTGTTAAAGCCAAAGTTCCAATTCAGCCTTGAAGGATGAAGGTGCTGGCCTAAGAAGTTAAATATATGTCTACCCTTAAAACTGGAAAGAACAAAAAGAGCAGGAAATCTCTCACCCAAGGGGATATCCCCAATCCACACATCCTTCCAAAACCTAATTTTCTGACCCGAAGCCAAATCATACTTGACATGATTTAGAAAGGTAGGAAGAATCTCGTGGATGGCCTTCCAAGGAGCAGCCAGCGTAGCTCTACAGAGACAACCAGCATCCCATCCATTGTTTGATATGCCATGAATACTTGCAACAACTTTGTGCCATTATTTCTCATTCTCATTAGGGAACCTCCACAACCATTTGCTGAGCAAAGACAAATTCTTTAACTTGATATTACCAATTCCTAACCCCCCTTATGCCTTCAATTTCACCACTTTTTCCCATATAATCAAATGATCCTTCTTTTTTAACCCTGGTTCCTAGAGAAAATCCCTCATGATTTTTTCAAATTTCCTCAACACCCTAAGTATCTCATAGGCCACTCTCCCTTCTCATAACCAAGAGAACCTGTCATAGCCCTCAAATCATCTTTTTCTATGTTGATTCCAACAACTAAGCTCTTCTACCAATTGATCCTCAAGTTAGACAACCTCTTGAAAGAGTTTTCTTTTTTTTGATGAATGAAAATAATTTATTAAATCAGAAAAAAGGCAGTACAGGAAACCCTGAAGAGGCACAAGCTGTTACCTCTTCAGAAAAGTATTACATCAAAATAAAACATAATTAGCCCTAAATAAAATTACAAAGCAGCCCAAAATAACTGCTCCCTTGTAGCCCCCTGCTTAGCTAACCCATCCGTTAAGGTGTTTGCTGATCTTCCCACCCAAAGAGAGGTAACAGTCATATTTCTTGTAAGCCAGTTGAATTTCCTTAATAAATCTCTGTGTCGCCACATGGCTGAAGCTGGATCTGTCAGCCATCCCACAACAATTTGAGAGTCTCCTTCAACTACCAAGTGCTGAACTCCTAACCTCTCAAAGAGTTTCACCACCAGTTTCAAAATTTCCACCCCCTCATTGTAGAAATTCAGGAGATCATTTGCAAACTTCAAGTGATTAATTAAAATATCTCTCTCCCAACTGACTAACCTCTGAAAAACTGCAAGCAATTTGCTCTTGAAATCAACTTACTCAGCATCAGCTACCAACTTCAAGCCAATCTATGTAACCACAGATTTGAGCAGCTTGAGCTCTAATACCAACTAAAGCAAAAATCTCCCAGCATGCAGCGATAGGCTTGAGCCAAAAGTTTCTCAGAGCAAAAATTTCAACTCAATGTAATGGTTGGATGAAGTACTCCTACATGATAAGGAAGACATACTTAGGAAGCTACTTTGGCATAGTGCAAATATACAGGATACTGATTTTCTATTTGTGTTAACTGTGCTTTGGGTATTTATACATTTAGCCTCTAATTTTAGCTTCACAATTTTCAGCATCCCTTAAATATCTACAATCATTCTACAAAATCTAACAAATTTATGCTAGTTCTGAACAATGTTTTGGGGTTTATCTTGCTTAGTTCTATTTAATCTCGTGCTTCTCAAAATTATCTATTATCTATATCAATGACATAGAATTGTTTTTTTTATTCAATTTATCATCTGATTGCATCAGGAGTTGTTGCTTGAAACTTTATATTCTCAGGACTCCAATTCCTCAAATGAAAGCAGTTATATGTGCAAAAATTCATAATTTTATGATTTTAACTTTTAATTACTCCAAATTCAGGTGACTTATGGTCCGGTTCTGAGGGTGGTTCTGTTAAGATTTGGCCTTGGGAATCAATAGAAAAATCCCTTTCTCTAACAGCAGAGGAACGACGCATGGCTGCATTATTAGTAGAGAGGTCATGTGTTGACCTGAGGAGCCAAGTCACCATTAATGGTGTCTGCTCCATATCTGCTTCAGATGTCAAATTTCTTTTATCTGATAATTCAAGGGGAAAAGTGTGGAGTGCTGGTTCCCAGTCATTTGCATTGTGGTATGTATTTGCTTCAAATAATGTCCTCTCTAAGATTTTGTTTATCAGTATTGCCCATATACTGAAAGCAGACTAGCAATTAATTAATAGGCTTGTTTTTTTTGAATACTTTCATGGTATCACCTGAATTCTTTAAATATTTGAATGTGTTTTGTTTATGGAATTCTGGAGTGTTATCAGAAAGATGTTCTAGGAGAGAATAGAAGAACGTCTATTGAAATCCTTGGATTATTTTTTGTCTCCATTGGAGTGAAAAACTTAAAGGGTCATTTACTAAGACAGCCCCTGTACTTTATCATATTAATTAAGACACCCCCTGTAGTTTCTACCCATCTTACTTAATGCTCTTTCTCTTTAACAGAAGTTTAACAGAAGTGTAACTTGGCATTTTTAACCTTGAGGTCTGTTAAACTATATTTTTTTAAATGAAAACTAGTGTAAGAGTACGTGCTTTGCACATGTACAAGTTTTAACCATATATCATATATAGTATTTGGGTTTAACTTTTATGACCTGCACAGAACCCAAGGAAAGTATCCCAAAGAAATTGTTGTGAAGACTAGCAAACTATGTGGGGCCATTTCATTCATGGGTACCTCCTTTTCTGTAGTCCATTTTCCTAGTTCAAGGTATTCAAGACATGATAATCACCATGGCAATGAGAAATCCCCCTTTCTCATTTGAAGATCCCTTCCTGAAATTTATCATTTATCAATGGGATTGAAGACAAAACACAAGACAAGAACCCAAAAGTTAGGTTCAATATCTGATTCTAAGAAAACTGTTGCTGGGAAGTTCAACAAATGGTATTATGAGGAAGAGGAACAGGATAGACTGTTGTGGCAACTCTTGTTCACAGGGAGAACAGCATGCGGTGGTTGACTCTTTCCATTGATGTTTTGTGAAAGGTTGTCTCATTGAATCTGTATTTTAGAGTTATTCTGTAATTGTACCTCAACTGAAGCCTAACTTACTTTCTTTCCCTTTTTTTTTTGCTCTGTCCATGGGATCCAGCCTCTTTGTTGTTCTTCCTTCCTTGCTAAGATTAACTAAGCATGCTTACTGGAAGAAATCCAAACCAAACCTTTCGCATAAGATTTTGTCCTGGGTTAACCTTCTTTTCTTACAAGTCTTATCTGTTAATCATTTCATCTGGTTTACCATCTCACTTTGTCTCTCTATCTGTTGCTCTGTTTCTTTCTGGTTCGTTGTTATCTAATCTGGGGGTAGATTGTGGATTTCTTCTTCAAGGATCGAGAGAAGTTATGGTGAGCCAAACAGCAAGCCAAATGAAATTCGGAGCATTGAAGCATGAGAGTGGAATTGCAGGGAACACGACCATTATTGCGGAGACAGTTGTTATACGGTGAGCTGTGTTGATCTTAAGAGATGAATATCATGGTATTACCCTTGTAACAAAGTATGCTTAGTATCCAAAACCTATCTGGTGGTCAGTCAAATGGCTGATGACAACTCCAGAACTTGTAGCTTCAACGAAGCAGGCTCCAGCTCCAAGGATGTCCAACAAGATCAGAAAAACGGAGATTGGCTTTCAACTGGCAATTGGTGATAATAAGATGGAACCAACCGCTCCAACAGTCAGATCAGATGATTGGTTGAGCATGATCTGTTACTACCTGGCGGTGGCAGTGGTAGTAGTAGCTCACAATTTAAACCACTATTAACCCCTCTCTTCCATATGAATGAGTTCAGATCTCCTCATCCATGCAGTGCTAGTGGTGATACCAGTATCATCGGTATGCCTTTGTTCTTTCCGCACCCAAGGACCAGATTGAGTGTTCCTCAACTGGAGGTCCCATGGATTTATGAGTCACGTGACCATTCATGGACAAAATCACAGACAGTTCTTGATGGACAGAGCATTAAGTAAGATGGGTGCAAACTACAGGGTGTGTCTTAATAAAATGACCCAAATTTAAACATCAATATTTTCAAAAACCCAATGACTTTTATTGTTTCATCACGATGTTCATTGTAGATTGAAGTATGAATGCCCATTTTCAGAGATCATTCTATAAGAGCAAGTTTGCTTAATGATGTTAGTGTCTTTTTCAAAAAAATAAAATAAAATAAAAAACCCTTCCAATCTGAAGGATTGCCTCTTGTTCCACACTTGCATGTCTATCATCCTAAGCCAATCCAGATTTGGTTTTTATTCTGCAGGGATGCTCGTACAAGGGAACTTTTGAAAGTTTTTAATGTAGATGGCCAGATTGAAAATCGTGGTGACATGTCATCAATGCAGGATTCATCTGTAGAAGATGAGGTGAAGACGAAATCAGCTTCCACATCAAAAAAGGAGAAACCACAAGGCTTCTTACAACGCTCACGAAATGCTATCATGGGAGCAGCTGATGCTGTCCGCCGAGTAGCAGTTAAAGGGGGGGCTTTAGGGGGAGCATTTTTAGATGATAATCGGAGAACTGAAGCAGCACTCCTAACCATGGATGGAATGATCTGGACTGGATGTGCAAGTGGGTTACTTGTGCAGTGGGATGGAAATGGAAGTAGGATACAAGATTTCCATCACCATTCTTCTCCTGTCCAATCCATTTGCACTTATGGGGCACGAATATGGGTAGGCTATGTAAGTGGCACTATACAGGTTCTAGATCTTGAGGGTAACCTGCTTGGAGGATGGGTTGCTCACAATGGTCCTGTTATAAAAATTGCTATTGGAGCAGGTTATATTTTCACATTGGCTAGTCATGGTGGAATCCGTGGTTGGAGCCTTGCATCGCCAGGTCCTCTTGATAACATATTGCGATCAGAACTGACCAGCAAAGAACATCTTTATATGAAGCTAGAAAATCTGAAAATATTGACAGGCACTTGGAATGTTGGACAAGGAAGAGCCTCTAATGACTCCCTTGTCTCTTGGCTGGGTTCTGTTGCATCAGATGTTGGGGTTATTGTTGTTGGGTTGCAAGAAGTGGAAATGGGTGCTGGTTTTCTTGCGATGTCTGCAGCAAAAGAAACTGTGAGATGTCTTGTGCTTCCATATCTAATATTTCTTACTTGCATTGCTGATGTTGTGGTTGTGTTGGAAACTAACTGAAATTCAGTAGTTAAAACTACATAAGGAACATGGATTACTCCATTGATTTACATGTATCATCATTTTCATAGTTCATGCTATTATTTTTTCATATATCCACAACCCATGAGTTCCAATATGGTGCATGGAAATATGTCTTTTATGAACTCAATAGCATTGCATATTTGCAAAAGGCCAGAGACCTGATACCAAAATTGTTGCATTCTTTATTTATATCTGTGTGTTATTTTATGCTTTGTTAGATTTTGTTCTTCAGCACTGAATTGACTTCTGAACCCTAAAAAATTTGCTTTTCAGATGCAATAAGCTTATATATATATATTATATTAAATATAATATAATATGTAATATTACAGAACAATCTTTACTATATAATGTTGATGGTTTCCTTGGCCCCATGTCAATATGATAATCATCTCAAACTTTTAGTGCATTTGTTTTCCTCTCACTCAATTAGTATAATAGAATATCATATATTCATCAGAAAATATTATAATGTAACATATTAAGATATAGTAAAATGTAATGTTATTTAATATACTTATTATATAATGTAAAAGTTGTATATTGTATGATATATTAACTTTTATATTTTGATATATAATATACAGTTTTATAGTATATTATATTATACTATATTATATTGTTATATGATATAATATTATAAAATATTATAAAAGATATAAGATATTAGAGAGAAATATTTCTTCCCTAGTGATATCTTGTCACCATACTCTTGTATTTCCTAAATCCTTTTTTATTTTAATGAAAATTTATTTTATTATCAAAAATATATTTAGAATTGCATAAAAAATTATAATCATAATATAGTTATTATATGATATAGTTCATGGAGGATTTGAGTTTGGAGAGAGAAATGCAAGAGGTGATACAATTTTAGAATTTCCAATAGCTTATGATATGGAAATAGTAAACACATTTAACAAGAAGGATGAACCTTTAATAACATTTAAAAGTATATCAAACTTAATTCAAATAGATTTTTTTTTTCCTTTTTTCTCTGAAGAAGTATTTTATTGTATTAATATTGTATACAAAAGAGCACACCAGCCCATGTACAATGAGAACCTCTACATTGGGAATATACAAAACATAGGGAAATCAACCAAAGAAAGGTCCAACTTGAAAAAAAGAACTAAGTTGGACACCATGAAATAACATTCGTACACCTAGCCTAGAACAAAGCAAACCTATAAGATTACTTTTAACTTCTTCCAGGTTAGAGTATTTGTTATAAAAAATGTGATGATTTCTCTCCTTCCATAATGTGCACATGATGGCAGCTGGGGAAGTGTTCTCTAATAGTTTACCCTTACTATTTGTCTCCCTACAACAAAGGCCCCTTTGGTTTTGGGAAACTACCAAGGGTAAAACAACCTTTAGCCTTTCTGCCAAGACTTTGCAATGATTTTGTAAAGGCTACCAATAAGACTTATAGGTTTGCAATCCTTAGGGGTTCTAGAATCGAGAAACCATCAGGTCCCAGGGCTTTTGACCTTTCCATATTGAAAGACTGCCTCATGGACCTCATCCTCACTGGAGGCTCTTTCCATGAAAGCAGCTTTATGAGTTGGAATCTTCTCCCAAATCAAGTCCCTTAAATCCACAGTCCTTTCTTCTAGGGTGGCAAAAATTGATTTAAAATAATCCACAAAGCACTTTTCAATTCCCTCCTTTGAAGTTATTATTCGGTCTTCACTCACAATGCTAGAAATTATATTCTTCCTTCTCCCATTTGCCAAAGAATGAAATAATTTTGAATTTCCATCTCCATCCAGTAACCACTTACACCTTGATTTTTTGCCTCCAAGAAATTTCTTCCTTAGAATTTCCTCTAGCTGCACTTTCAATTTCCATCTTTCAGATCTGTCTTTCAAACCACACTCTCTTTGGGCCTCTTTTTGGTCTATTTCCTCTATCCTTTTAGCAATCTCCTCCTTTTTCCTGACCACAAATTTCATTTTCCTGAAAATTTGACCAAGTGATAGAGGCTTGTAGCAGTTGAGGTTCTTTTAGCTCTAGGGACTCTATCAGGTTGTTGAACTTTCTCATGCTTTTGGTTATTGTCTAGTTTGTGTTATTTGTTTCATTTGTGTACCTAATAACATTGAACCCCCCCGACTCCCCTCCCATAATCCCCTTACTACAGCTAGTTCTTCCCAAAATGAGTCCCTATCTCTGTATGAGTTAGGGCCATACACGTTTGTCAGCACCCATTCTCTACCATCACTTACATTCTTTGCTTTTATTGAGACAGAAAATTGGCCAAGCAGTTCTTCTTGGCACTCCACTTCCTCATTCTTCCATATTGTTAGTATTCCCCCTGAGGCACCCCATGATGGGGCATAGGCCCAACTTAATCCTCTACTGCTCTAAATGCTTCCTTCTTACCCATCACTTGTCCACATCTTGGAGTTTTGTTTCTTGCACATCACAACATCCTGTCTTTCTTTCCTCAATACATTCCTGATCACTCTCCTCTTTTTAGAACTTCCAAGAACTCTTACATTCCAGCAAATAATCTTCATTTTGAACGGTTTGAGGTGGCCCTTTCCTAAAACCCAGCTACAAGTCTCCCCTCATTTTCTCCCTTTTCCGGTTTTCTACCTTATCATAAGTGACTCCACTAGCTAACTTCTCCACTTCCTTCACTCAATTTCCTCTTCTTATTTTTCTCCTTGCCCACCTCTCTTGTTAAACAAGGAAAACCCAAATGTTAGAAGTGTTAACTTCCACATTCATTATAGAATTTTTAAAATAAGGGCATCAGTTGAGATTAGTTAGTTTGATCTCCGTTGCTTTCCAGCCCTAATTCTTTTTTTATCAATATTCCAGCTCTAGCTCTCCTCTCTATTCTCTTCTCTTCTTCCCCACATCTTCTCTTCTTATTTACTTCTCAATTCTGAATATTTTCTGGCTTTCTTTTATTTGTTTCAGGTCTGATCACATGGTATCAGCGCCATAGTGATCGACCTGTTCTGTTCCAGATGTCATATAACTCTTTTCAAGTAGATAACTCTCTCTACTCATTAGAGAAAGGAAAAGAGATCTAAAAGGACTCATTGCCTTCTGAAGGAGGTATTCATGCCTCTACTGTGGTTTGTGTGTGGTTGGTGGCTTTCTAGAATCCCTCTAGTTGGTGATTCAAATAGGGGTTGCTTTCAGATGTTATAGGTCACTTGTTTAAATTGTTGATTTTTCCAATGGATAGTATGCTTGAATGCTGTGGGTTGATGAGATAATCAAGTCCTGTGCATGCCATTGAGATCAGCTAGTGTGTTGTGGAGGTTTTATATGATGTTCTGAATTGTGGCTACTAGAATCTGGTGTTTTGGGTTTTGGAACTTTCTGTTTGGTGATTTCTTATGTTGATTTCGATTGATTTCTTGTGAAATATAGTTGAAAGCATATTAGAATTGTGGGAAAATCTATGATGCAGGAAAGACATGGTACAAAAAGAGTTTTGACCAATCAAAACCCACCCATGAATTTTTATAAATAACACCTAATTGGCTACCGCATTTATGATTCCTGTTAGAGTTAGCCGAATAAGGGTAGATTAGTCAACTCACCTTGGTTAAGTTATGAGCTTATGTGGCAGT